AGAGGTTCCTTTTAACCCAGCTATTCCCATTCTTGGTATCTTTCCAAAAGAATTAAAAGCATCATACCACAGTGACACATACACACCTATGTTTGTAGAGGAACAGTTTGTAATAGTTAAATCTTGGAAACAGCCCAAATGCCCATCAATTGATAAATGGATAAAAGAGATGTGGGTTTTTACATAGTACAATGAAGTACTATGCTGCCACAAAGAAGGATAAGTTTGAGACATTTCTATCTAAATGGGTCCACCCTGAGACTATACCCTTAAGTAAAATTAGTCAGACACACATGTTTAAATACATTGTTTCTCTAGTGTGAGAAACTGAAAGTGCAAACAAAGACCAAAATGTATACTAGATATTGAGAAATGGGAAGAAAATGTTCAAATGAGAAGAACAACAAGGGAGAGGGTCCGAGGAGGAAAGGAAAGAAGAGACAAGGAAAAAAGAGAGCATAGAAGGAAAAAAATGGAAACAAAGCTTTTTGTAAATAAGCCGGGGAAGAGGGGTTGAAAGGAGGGGAATGGGAAAGAAAGAAGAAGCAAGATATGTCATGTACAAGTACAAATGCCCTAATGTGAAAGTTATCATTACATATATCTAAATGTACCAATAGGCCTTGATGGTGGCGCATGCCTGCAACCTCTGCACTTGGGAGGCAGAGGCAAGAGGATCATCACAAGTCCAAAGCCAGCCTGGGATACATAGTGAGTTCAAGGGCAGCCTGAACTGCATAGTGAGACTTTGTCTCAAAATAAATAAATAAATTCAATGTACCAATAAAATAAAAAATACATAAAATCTCAGAAGTAATTCTGACTAAAGAAATACTAACACACTAAGACAGAAATTGGTCTTTTGTCTGCAAAAAAAAATACATTTTATATATGAATATGCAAATACATAAATCTACATATTTAGGCATACTTAATATATATTTATATATTAGTGTTCTAAATACAGTAATACAGAAGAATGAAGTAACCTTGAAGCCCTAAGGACATAGTTTGAATTAAATTTCCCCCACCCCCTTTCCTGTGGTACTTACTTCCCTCATATGACAAGTCAGTTCCCCAACTGGTACTGCAGAAACAGGGTGTGGAAAAGGTAGTGTTATCTGACCGTGGATAACTCTACAATTCTGTGCAACTTCAGCCATTTCAACCCATTTTTTAATATTTTGGTAAAGTGGCTGAATGATGCTTTCCTTCTATCAGAGTATGTTTTCCTAAATTTCAATAGTTCTCCTAGATTCCTTCTGAAAAATAAATCTACAGCAGTAAAAGAAAAATAGGTGCTGTGTGTTAGGTAGTATTTTAGTAGTCAACAAGGTCTACAAAATTTAGAATAACGTAAACTATTCCTTAAGGAGTTTCCAACCTAAGAAAAAGGTCAAGATAACAAAGCAGAGATCAATACGAAACATAAATACTAGAAGACTGTTCAAATCAGCCAGCAAAAAAGGCAGAAGGATAAACAGGACTTAAGATAAGGAAGGATTAGCAGATGGGAGGTAGATGAGGCTCTTTCAATAACTGAGATGACTTTTGCGAGTATGCCAAACAATGTGGAAAAATGAAAAACTGTGCAAAGTAAAATGTATTTGATTAGCGAAGCATAGCAAAAAAGTACAGGATTTTTATGGCTAAAAGGGACCTTGAAAGATTCTTTCTAAAATTTTCTAATTTCAATATGGAAAAAAGAAAACTCAAAAATGCCAAACAAGTTTTACACAGCTAATGAGTAGCAATCTGGCAAAGAATTCAGGTCTTCTAATTTTTTTTCATCAAGCACTCTGCAAACATTGTAGGAGGTACCCTTAGAATTAAAAAGAAATATAACTAAGTTTCCCTACCTTCATTGACCTTAGAATATTGCTGAGGTGGTATGATATGAAAAGAAGAATGAAAAAAATAAAGGATGTAAATGTTTTTAAGTACCAAATTATGCACTGCAAAAATGCATTAGACATCTAGGACCTAGATTTCAACAACTGAAAGGAAGACTACGAACAAAACAAAAAACGAACTACCCTGGGCAGTGTACCCACAGTTCCTACTATTGAGGAGGCTGAAGCAGGAGAACTGCTGAAGCCCAGAGGTTTGAGATCAAAACTGCAATACTGTTTCCTTTAAAAAAAAAAAAAGAAGAAGAAGAAGAAGAAAGAAAGAAAGAAGGAAAGAAAAGAGAAAAAAAGAAAATCAGTGATTGTTAAAGTGGTAGCTGAAGCTGAGGGTGGCATCGCTCGCCTGTGATCCCAGAACTTGGGAGGCTGAGGCAGGAGGATTGTGAGTTCGAGACCAGCTGGGCTACAAAGTAAGTTCAAGATTAGCCTGAACTGCATAGTGAGACCCGGTCTCAAAAGCACAAAATAAATATATAAATAAAGTGGTAGCTGAAGGAAAATCATCTTGATAACCTGTGTTCAGAATAGCATGAACTATAAGGGAAGAAACTAGGGAGAAATTATTATTTTCAAAAGAAAAAAAAAAAAACCTTAAAAAATACACTGTTTTTACACTCATGAAAATGAAAATAAAAGGGCAGATGGCATATCAAGTAGCTCATGTTTACAAAATTACTTCAAATTACAAAAGGCCCAATTACAATACATAACTAACAAGCTGCACAAGTTCCAACTGTAAGAAGTTCACAAGGCAGGTTTGGCTCACTGACCTCTACCAACAAACCACTAATGGAGCTGTGCTTATAAAAACAAAAACACAAAATGAAAGAATTCTATTTTCCAGAGAACTTTGAACTATGACATATCTTGGGTTTTTTCTTTTTTAGGAGGCAGTTCTGGTTTGGTTTTAAACCTTGTTACCAATCAACTTGCTCTAAAAACCCATGAAACTACGTCCAGAGCTGGATAAACTATTCACAAAGGTATCACAAGCAAAAGTCCTACTTGTCAAGCTGAGCCTGTACATTTACAAGCTATCACTCACCAGTTTGCTCTTAAGATGCTTTACTGGCTAGGCTGCCTCCAGTTTCAACAGTAAGTTCTTTACCAAAATATCCTTCAAGCCAAGAACAGTACCTTAAAGTCAATGACAGCCTTCATCATATCAGTATTATAACACAACCCTGAGATAATTATATGCAAAGATCCAAAATCATTACCTGAATAACAATGATTAGGTAAAATGACTTGTTAGTAGATTTTTAAAAATCTTTTACAGAAAGCTTTCGGCTTCCGTACAAAAAAAGCTGGTAGTGGTTTGTATTCTCTATAATCTTACAAAAAAACAAAAAAAACCCTTACAGTCCAGAAATCAGAAATAGCTTTACACAAACAAGAGCAAAATTGTAGGTTTTGCTGAGGGCATCAGCCACTTAATTTAACCCCACTTCATCTGGAACAGGAAGCCACACTGCTGTTTTCATCAGAGTTACTAAGAAACAAGATAAAGGCCAGATTGGGGGAGAAAAAGCTATAGTTAAAATTAGTATTTTGATGCAATTCTGTCACTGGTAGACAAGAAAGAGCACTAGACAGCAAGCGGGCTGTGTTAGCATACACCTACAATCACAGATACTTGGGAGGCCGAGGCAGGAGGATCACAAGAGTTTGATGCCAACCTGGGCAAATTAGCGAGGCACTGTCTCAAAATAAAAAGGGCTGGGGGATGTAGCTCAGCGTTCCCGGCTTCAACCCCCAGCACCGCAAGAAAAGACTGAATCTAGGACTACCTTAAAAAGAATCTGTCTACAATTGAATCGTGATTAAGTGGAGAAAAGATTTACCGGAGCTTGGGGTTGTTTTTTCCTCCTTCCCTTCCCAGCCCCTCGCCTCAAACAGGAAAGAAAGCGCGCCCAGCATAAACACAGGCTATTGCTCAAGGTTCGTCACCACAACAAACTGGAGGTTAGAGCAGCGCTCCTGGAGACCGAGCCTTCCCTCCCGGTAGCTAGGCACAGAAAGGGATTCTTCTCTGCCGACCTGTGAACCGTGTGGGTCTCACGCAAGTTTTGCTTTTCTTTATTGTTGTTTTTGACAAAGCTTTCCAGGGGGCGACGGGGCAGCAAAAGTTTGCGTTCGAGGCAGACCTCCAGATGCGGCTTGCAGGGTACACATTAGGCGGGCTGGTCCTGCGGAGGCTCCACCATCATTACAAATTACAAAGCCAGCGACCACGGCACGTCAGCCGGGAGGACAGCGCCGCTTCCACACCCATCCCACCGCCGCCGTCCTCTCCCAGCACCGACTCCCAGGTCCACACGGCGCACGTAGTCCCAAAGCGCGGCGCTCGGCACAGGTGTGACACAGACAAGCACCAGCCTCGCACCGAACCTGGCACAAGCGCCCTGGGAGAAACCGGCCGGGCGAGCCGCAAGGCGGCCCCTGTCACCTGAGGACAACAACGCGCCGGGAGAAGCGCAGGGGGGCGGCCCGGCGCACTGGCCGCCGCTCCCCGGAACGCAGCCCGGC